TGAAGCAATTTTTTAAAAATAAATTATAGGTCTATGTTAACTCTGCATTGAGCAAGCTTATCAGATCCATTTTTCCAATAGTTCAGATGATTGTTAGCATTTTAAGCAATAAAGTAATATTTAAATAATGTATTGTACATTGGGTTTTTTAAATAATGCTATTGTACACGTAAGAGATGACAGAACAGGATAAATATAACTTTTATATGCATTGGGAAAAGTAAAAGCTATGTAACTCACTTTATTGCAACAGTCTGGAACTGAATCTGCCTAACATCTCTCAAGTTCTATCTCTGTCTCCCCTTGATCTTTTTCCCTAGAGACCCAGCTCTGCAGGAAAATGTACAGAAATCTGATTAACAATGAATTCCTGCATGAAGGGAATGGTCATGCTATGCACCAGACCCAGAAAGCTGCTGAGAAGCTTGCATAGAAACCTGTCCCAGCAAAAATGGCTTCGACACAGACAGAAGTATATATAACTCTGGCATCACACTGGATAATCTGGAGAGTTTGGCTAAAATAATATTGGTATTTTTTGCCACTAATACATATTTATGTTCTTGACAATGCCTACAGTTCATAGATGCTTAACTCTAATGCTAAAAAATAACAAGGGCTATTTCAATTACATAAACAAATAAGAAATATGTGTATCTCAAAAATAGTTCTATTATAACTCCATTAAAATTAAAGTAGCAATTTTTAAAGTACCACGATGAAAAACTACATGAAGACAGAGTTTTAAAAGATTATTTTCCTTAAAAGCTTAGAAACAATAAAGAGTCAGGTACATTACACCTATCTTCGGCCAAGTAGATTAAAAAGCATGTATTTGCTGTCTTGAATACTATTTTAGAACTCCAGCTAATTTAATTTCCCCTAGTAGGTGTAAGAGATTCTGCTTCTTTATTTTGATGTTAGGAGATCTCTTGACCAGATTGTCCTTGCACAGAGCCCAGCTCTCTGGGAACTCAGCTCTTCAGGAGCTCAGGAAGGGCTCTGTTAGGGCCGCTGTTGGCCCTAGGCTCAGACCTTCCCGAGGGCTGTGGTAGAGTGACACAACACACTCAGCTCATAGCCCCACTGATGAGCTTTCCTTCACTCCACAGGAGATCTCAAATAAATGAAAATATTTCTTTTATAGCTTTAAATCACTTGTTACACATTTTAAACAAATAGTTTTTACCCTTAAATCCCTCAGAATTTCTCTCCAATTAATTTTGATTTGCTTAAAGTAAAAAATGGAAATACTAATTTTCTAAACAACACACTGACCTTTTCTTTTTGTAACCAAAACATATTAAATTTTCCAAAATTGGGGTGTAGAGGTGAGAAGCATGTTCACTTTCTAATTCAATTTCCTACAGTATACACATTCTCCCATCTAATTCATCAGTAGGTCGACAACCCACTAGCACTGAAAAGATGTCATACCAGCAAGCAAGAGCCATACCTGTGTGCATGCACTCATGTGAAAATATCACACACACTAAATTGCATTGAGGCCGTGACAACATGCAACTTAGTAATGTGCAATATCTCCACCAGAGCAAGCAGAATGGAGCGTCGGGCAAGAAGGGTGTGATGTGTGCATTCAGGAGACAACATGCTGCTAAAGGGAGGAAAATGGTTTGGGGACAAAAGTGCATGCCACTCACTCAAAAATTCATGAAATGAAACCTAATCACACGTCTTCAATTTAGAAAAATACTAATTCAGAATTAAAACAAAAATCAAGGTTCATAACATAGTGATCATTAAGGAGCCACATGTTTCACAAGCCACAGCTTCAGACAGACACTTTCCATGTCTGGTCATGCAGTTAAACCCCAATTTCATTCCGTTTTTAACCTACTAATGGAGCACATAAAATGAGATTAATGATTTTTTAATTAAATATAATATTAATGATGATTAATGACTGTTCTCTATAAAATTTGTCATCACTGATAATTTACAAACCCAACTGCACTTTAAGAATGTTACAATACTTTCATAATCATTTGCATAGCACTTTTCCCCTTAAAATTGTTTTTTCCATAAGAAAACGTACCTCTTTTTTATTTATTTATTTATTTTTTGGTACCAGGGATTGAACTCGGGTCCTTGCGCTTGCAAGGCAGGCCACTGAACCGCTGAACTAAATCCCCGGCCCCCATACTTCTTTTTTAACACAATCATTTAGAATGAGAAATCTGACAAAAGTTCTTAGAACGCACTGCTGTATCTCATTAAATGAGAAGGCTCTTAAGAGAAGTTCATATAAAACTCATAGATTTTAAGTCTTACATTTGATCTAGAAAAAAAAAAAGAAAAAAACAGCCCAGGGTCAGGGATTTAGCTTAGTGGAGGATCACTGAGTTTGAGGCCAGCCTGGACTACAAAGTGTGTTCAAGGCCATTTCCTGAACTACACAGCAAGACCTTGTCTTAAAAACAAACAAACAAACAAACAAAAAAATGCCCGAAGGATTTAGACTGCAAGAATAAAAATCATCTTGAATTATGATCTTTAATTAATAAAACCCAATACAGCTTTGGTCAGAAAAATGTCCCAGGCCATTCTCTAGTCTGTAACATATTTATCAAATTCAATACAAGTCAATCAGTTCTGCTAACCAGGGTATTTCTGGTACAGTATCTCTGCTAACAGAATATTTCTGATATAGAAGGCTATTAATTTTTTTGGTATTAAAAAACAAAATGATAAAATGCATGGATTTTGTCCCTACTTTGGAACCATGACATGGGCTATTGACTGGCATAATGAACAATGAACAGTATATATTCCTAAAAAGGGCAAATCTACTTTGTAAAAGAAATATTTTTCATATCTTATAAATGATAGCACTCTTTCTAATCACATATTCTCTTCTGAGGTGAAGGCTGAATGTCTAGCTGCAGGCCCCACTGCATCCACTTGGATGGTCTTAACAGTACTGCAAATCTAACTCATGATTTTCTCCCCGACCATTTCCTCATGGAAGTGTCACAGAATAGCGGGATTACTGTGTGCTTTTAATCAGTCAGATCTAGGTGCAAATTACAGCTCTACTTACCACTTAACTAGCAGCCACAACTTAAAAAAAATAGGTTTAAAACCAAAGAGGCAGCATATTTGGAAAAAAAAACAAAAAATCAACTCAATAACAAATATTTGAGAGGACAGTCAGCCAAGTGGCTCACTTGAAAAAAGCAAAACAAGAGAAAATTCAAGTTTTGTGATTTGAAAGCTGGACATGGTGACACACGCTTGTAATACCAGTGCTCTGGCTGCTGAGGCAAGAGTATTGCACAGAGCTCAGAAGGAGTGCAAGGCTAGCCCGGACTACATAGCAAGACCTTGTTAATAAAAAAAACAAAACAAAAAAAACCTTAAAGAACTGTTATTTGAAAACAGAAAAGCTCTTACAAGTATAATAGTATAATGAAGGTTACTTTAGGAAAATGAAACACTTGTCTTTCTTCTTTATTTTTCTATATGGCTTAGATTAAGTCCCATCTACAATTAGAGGACTACTTCAATGGTTTTATCCTACTGGGAAGATAGAAAGTTATTTTTCCTTTTTTTTTTGGTACCAGGGATTGAACTTGGGCCCTTGCACTTGCAAGGCAGGTGGCATAACCACTGAGCCAAATCCCCAGGCCTATTTTTCCTTTTTGGTAGAGCATTGTGTAGGCTTTTTTGAGTCAAAATATTATCACATAGATAAAAGCCTACTGCTGGAATTTTCATCATTTTACTTACACAAAAAGGATAATTACCTAGGGTCATCTGGGCTTAGAAGGGATACTAAATCTAAACTTTCCTGAAGACAGAATCAGCACGAAAGCCGTTAGGTTAAACCATACATCCCCACACCTGTATTCTTTATATGCATAGTCCCATGTTGACACCTGAGGACACCACATAGGTGCTAAGAGATTTTTAAAACCTAGCAAAGTTTCCAGATATGATATACTTTGGAAGCATCCTATTGGAATAAAACTGGGATTTCCAAAGACAAAGAGACATTCTCCCTAGGTGTTATATGAACACAGTGAAAAAAGTAAGCCAAGGTCAGGCAGGCGGATTAACAGGCCAAATCAAGATTTATGTGGGTGGTTAGTTCCAAACAATGGTATATTTTAAAAGTATGTGGAAACAGAAATCCCAGCCAAAGGCTCACTACTCAACAGAAGCTTAAGACCTCCTGGCTAAAAGTAGAAAGAGCAGCTCTAAAAGATGATATAAGGATTTGAGTACCTACCCACAAGAAGTAGAAATGCTGAGTTTTGCTAAGAAGCAATGAGAGACAGGGGTTGAAGGAGGAGCTGAGAAAGGTCTGAACTCTGAAATATCTCTTCCTACTAGATATGAAGAAGAGGAAAAAGAAAAAGGGGCAGAAGCCAACAACTTGGAAAGAGCTTAGAGGGCGTGAAAGTTGAAGAAACTCATTCAGAAAGCAAGCCTGTGACATTTGGTCTCCAAAGGCAAGATGGAAGTTTCTGGCCAAAGTCAACATGGCACACAGAGTCTATGACTTGGAGGTAACCAAAGAATGCACTCCGAGCAACTAACCATTTCCTACAAAGGGCACAGCCTTCCTACAGCAGAGAAGATATAGGGAGGACATCTACTCCCCTCCAGGATCCAAGTTATACTTTCTGAGAAGAAAAGAGGGTTCTCTGAAAGGAGAGTGATGGAAAAGGTGGTTTCTCTTGAGCAAGTAACATAACAATGGAGCTAAACTAAGAGGCTGCTGATGGGAGGCTCATGGAGACAGGCCATTCTGTAAACCACAGGCTAGAGAACAGGGTATCACAGTCCTTAGGATATTTTTACCTTATAAACATATGTACTTACAACATCCTCTCAAAATGAGATGAAAACCTTTTAGAATACCACAGTCTTTCACTAGTTAGTACTGAATGTTACTAGGAAATTCAAGGCAAAAAAGAAGCTTCTCATGGAAAGAAGTTTGTAAAGGGAATAACAAGCATCAATCTTATCCCTACCTGATAGCTTCCTCCACAGACTGGCCAATAATATTAGAAGATGGACCTGGCTGAGACAGTGGTGTCAGGCTTATCACCCACTTCACTGGCTTGTAGTACTCATCACTGGAACTTAACAGATAAAATAGTGTGGTCAGGAAAATTATCTGCAAAACAAAGGACAGTATCTCCTAAAAAATCACATTTGGAAAACTGTAGGTAGACATCCACAAATGCAAAAATAACCAAGAAAATGGAGAAGGAACTGTGATGTATACTTATCTAGCCATACATACCAGAGAAAGCACGAAATTGAGGAGGGCAGTGCCACTGTAGAAAAGGATGGTTAGGAGCGTGGTGACCGTGGTAAATAGCAGGCTCACATTCCGGCTCATAACAATCCACAGGGACTCCAAGATCTGATGAGGAGGGAAAGCCAAATGTCAGCGCTTACATGAAAGGACATGCCACAGCCACCTTGTGTGCTTTCAATACAGTGTCTTACTGTCATAAATGCACAGATAAGAACTGAGGACTATTTTAAGTGAAGGGGAAAAAGTCTATCAAAAACATCTGCATATTTAACAGTAAGGAAAATGGCTAAGCACAGTGAATCTACATAAAAAAGTATTAAACAGTTATCAGAAATGTCTACTATAACAGAAAATATTTTGCTATAATGCTGTTTTAAAAGCAGAATACAAAAATTTTATATATAGTATAGCTATGTAAAAACTGACATGGACATAAAAGTATCCACAGGAGAACATGTCAGAATATGCCCTGTGTATGTTTATCATGAAGAATATTAAGTTCTAGCATTTGCTGTTTCAGATGTCCACCTCCCCACCTTTGTCATTTCCAACTTAGATTCAACTACAAATATACAAAGTATAACTTCAGTGACCATTAAAATCACAGCAAAAGTAATGATGGGGTCAAAGGCAGAGCCTTTCCTGAGATAGACACTGCCTTTAACATTGAGACCTACTGTCTGCAGTTGATTCATCAACTGAGAATTCACTAGAGCCAGATTTCAACATGATGGTTATCATACACAAAATACTCCTAAAAGAAGATGCACAATATTGATAGTATATCTGCATGCTTTCATTTCTTATCTCTCCATGAACTTAAATTCCCTCATGATAATGTCTGTTCTACCCTCCCCAAGTGGAATACTTCCTCTCAATGAAAAACATGGAAGTATAATGATAAGGAAAACACCTTCCATTATATAGTTTTCAAAATGCTTCCACAAACCTCAGCACAATGCTGTAAAGGAACCAATGCAGATGACAGTATTTTTATTTTAAACACACACACACACACACACACACACACACACACACACACAAAACTGAAGTTCGGAGGCTTTTAAAATGTGTCCATGGGCACAGGGCTAAGAAGTAGCAGCAGAACTCCTAATGTCTGATTTGTACTTTGGTGCCCTTTCTGACATAGCAGTTCTGTTTTTGTCATATGTTCAAGTTATACCATCTGTTCTATGAAAGGCCTATCCATCCCTTTCCTACTTCAAATGTGTCATTTATAAAAGGCACATTTTGTTGCCCTCCGCATTTGTTGAAAACCTCAGTTCAGTCTTCACAAGAGATTTTCAGCAGTCTGGTTTCATTTACAAAAACTCCTTACATAAAATCTTGAAAATGTTTCATGGTGCCTACAAAATATGCATGATTAACTGTTTGACCCTGTCAAATAAAGAATGAATGAACAATGCCATATCCAAGAAACAAACCAACAATGCTTTTATTTTTGATTCTGACAAGCATTCTTTCTGACGCTGAGTCACTCTGGAATTTTTATAAAAAAAATTTTAAATAGTTTCTAAGTCACACTGATAAAAAATACCCTGTGATAATTCTTAAGAAATTAACTGAATATATTAACTGTATAATGGTAGACTTCACAACAATGAAGTAAACTTTTTACTTGAAAGAAAAGAAATTAGAGAAACGGACATTTCTAGAATTATTAATTAAATTTTTAAAGTAAGGAATGGGGATTTAGCTCAGTGGTTCTGCTGCCTGCTTCGCAAGTGCAAAAACCTGTGTTCGATCCTCAGTACCAAAAAGAAAAGAATTTTTTTTTAAGTACACTAGTTTCTAATATATATGTCGGGTTTAGAAAGGAGGAAATGAAGGTAGAAACAATAGCAAGGGCCCTGAAATTCTGAAAATGAAACAGACCAAATGCATTACAGATAAAAAGTAGAAAATATGAGCCAAGTTTTACATTAACTCAATCAACAGTAGCAACATAACTGAAACAATGTCAAGAACAGATTAGTTGTATGAAACATACACAAAAAAACCCGTCCACAGCTCACTAAAAAGCGGTTTCTGCTGTGGATTAGAGATGACCAAGGAAGCCTCAACATCCTCCAGCTGATCTGCATCCTGTCCATTTGAGTCCACTGTTCACTAGATAAACTTTCAGTTATTAATTTGGTTTACTAGGGACTTATTGAGAGCCATTAGCCTACCTTCTGTGGAACCAATGAAGACTCAAAAGTAGCAGTTTAGAAAAAAAGAAAGAGTAGAACATTACAGGGATGCAGAAGTTAAAGTAAGAAAATGTTTCTCTGAGTAGGAGCAAGCTGTCGCTGTCTGCCTCAAAGTCTGAACAGAGCCTGGAGATACAGACTACATGAACCCCACTGTCCATTTCTGTCTGGCTCCTCTCTTCCTAATCTAGCTACAGAGGAAGGGAGCTGAGCTACATGATCTCAAAACACCATTTCAACTTTGCCAGTCTATTTCTAAATACAAAATTGATCATTATTCATGGTATAATATGTTTCTCATACATAAACTGACAATGTTAACACATTGCTAAATTCAAAAGCAGTGATAAATGAGAGTCTTTCTGCCTTCAAGAACTTAAAATCTAGTCAGGTAAACTGGGCATAAATATCACAGTAAAAACGGAAGAAAGTAAAAGTTCAGGTTATCGAAAAAGGGTGAAAATGCTAAAGCAAGAGGGCAAGAGGAAAGTAGGAAGAAGTTCAATTTGTTCTAAAGTGCACTGGAAAGGGGTCACACACCATAGCTCTAAACTGCCTACTTACTACAAAATCAGGAAAAAGCTGACAAAACAAAGCAAATGAAAATATAAAGGTAAGAGACAAAGAGGATGAAACACAGCTTGGAAATACAGTTTATTATAGCAACAGCCAGGTCTCTGGAGCCAAGAAAAGAAAAACTGAATTTGAACACTAATTCTTACTAGGGTATTTAACACCAGTAAGCCTGTTTGCTATTAATATGAAGGTGCCGGGGATTTGGCTCAGTGGTTCTCACAAGCTCAAGGGCCCAAGTTCAACCCCCATATCAAAAAACAACAACAACAACATGAAGGCAATTGCATTGGGTTTGAAGATTCTTTATGAGATATTTACAAAGCACTAAGCTTTATTTATAGGTATATCTGTCAAAAAATATTTGATATAAAAATCACTAAAGAATCACCTACTCCTTCAACCATCCATTAATCAATATGTAAATGTGTTTGGGGATATAAGAATTGTTATTTAATTTTTTATCTAATTATTTATTTTAATTGTCTATTTAATTTTTTTTGGACTACATGGCTAAACTGTTTCATTTTTAAAACTGCCTATCCTTTTCATTCCATAAAAATTTATAAAATTTAAGTAATTTTTCTGTATCATCTGTCTTAATTTGATTCACTAATGTCATTTCACCAATCAGAAGCAAATCCTTTAAAACTCAACTATTAAGAAAAAAAAAAGAGTGACTATCAACTGGAGACTGGATAAAGGTTTTTTTTTTCCCCTATAAAATGGAGTACTACTCAGCCATAAAGAATGAGAAACCAGAGACATTTAGAGCTCCATAGATGTATACTGAGGCCACACTCTTAAGTGAAATAAACAGGACATGCATTGTGTAAATACCAAATTTACTAAAAGTGTAAATAAAAACTAAAAGTGTAAATAAGGTTTAAATTGTATAACTGACAATATGAAATAGGAAGAAAAGGTCTAAAGGAGTAGGGGAAGCAGGAAGGGTAGGGGAAAGGAAAAGAAAAAATATGAGAAAGGGAGAAAATGGAAACAAAATCTTTGTAAATGGGGAGGGTGGAGGAGGTGAAGGGAGGGCAGGGAAAAGGGAAAAAATAAGAACCAAGTTACATCATGTAAAGGTAAAAGATCCCAATGATGAATGTAACTGTACTATATACCTAAAAAGTACCAATAAACTCAATAAAAAATAAAAAAAGAAAGAAAAGAAAATTCAATACTAAAGGATCAAAAGACAAGAAAGATTCAGTAAGTTTTACTTAACTCACCTGAGTTTGGGGGGAAAACAAACATTCAAACATATTGTTAGAGGATAAGCTATCTTCTGAAAGCCCTATCATTAAAATGCTGCTGAAGAGCCAGGTGCAATGGTGTCTGCTAGTAGTTCCAGCTACTCTGGAAGCTCAGGCAAGAAGACTGTGGGTTTAAGATCAGCCAATATGCCAAGACCCTGTCTCAAACAAAAAACAAAACACTGCCTAGAAAGTCCATGAAACTGAGTGGAACCTGTTGCCCCCTGGGGCTTGTCTATAGGCTGGCCTGGCTAGACCCTTTGAACTGGCTGTTAGTTTTTCACTCTTAAAAAGGAATACACTGCTAGGGGTCACAGACATTTGGGAAAGCCTCAGAGGTAAAGAGAAAGAAAAACAAACTTTAAAGAAGCTTAGAGCAAACTGGGGACAGTAGCCATTTTACAAATTTAAGGGTGTGATGATATGATGAAAATATGTTATATGCATGTTATGAAAATACCACATTGAGACCCAATATTTTATAAAATATACAGTAATAGAAAATACATTTAAATATTAGCAGTATCCTCAAAAACATTTTAAAAAGGTTCAAAATATAAGAGCTGTTGGATATTGTAGAAGCAGAAATAAAAAATTCAACAAAGGTTTCAAAAGTAAAGTTGAAGCCTCGGGGTGGGGGTGGGGGACAATTCACAGAGAAGAAAAGTAAAAAATGTTTTAAGAGTTAAGGATCCATGTTAAAGCCCACCATCTGACTGAAAGGCAGTTCAGAAAATCAGGTAACTGGTTCTCAAAGTGTGTCTCCTGGAAAAGTGGTATCTCCAACACCTTTTCTGAGGTTTTGTAAGGTCAAAATACTTCCCTCCCCAGGTGTGGTGGAACGCACCTGTACTGTAATCCCAGCACTTGGGAGTTTGAGGCAGAAGGATCACTGAAGTCAACCTAGGCTACACAGTGAGTTCAAGCCAGCCTGAACTATACAGCAGGACCCTGTCTCAAAAAGCAAAACAACAACAAAATTTCCCTCACGATCCTCCAAAGTTTGCATTTCCTCGTGAGGGCATCTACACTGAGTGTGGTGACAGTTAAGGGCCAGCAGGACTGCTGGGCCATGGCAGGAATAGGGACAGCACCTAACTGCTCTTCCGTTCACTGTATTCTTTACCACCACAAGCTCAGGACCAGCATTACTCCAGAATTCCTTTACGCAGCAGCAAAATTCAGGAGTTTATCCGAATCAGCCTTTGAATAGCTTTTTAATATTCTGCATGAGAAAACAGGAAGTTAGGCTGAAGCACTTTTGCTGCTCACCTAAGTGGAAAGCACCAATGTGACTGAGCTGGGAGCTGAACTATGTGATCTCTGCACTGAACACCATGTCTGTATCAAAGAACACCTAGCAGCTTTGGTATTCCACAGAAATTTCCTCCAAAAATGAGTAAAGTGTCACTTCCAGGAAATCCACTGACAATGTGTGCTATCAACAATAAAATTTGAGTCATTAAAGAAAAAAAAACATAATTTTGGAAATTTATTTATCAGTTACTATAACCTTGACAGCTTAAGTGTTTTTCTAAAGAGTTAGATGATTGTAAAGAACATGAGTTTTTGGGCTGGGGATTCAACTCAGTGGCACCGTGCCTGCCTGAGGTTCAATACCTGGTACCAAAAAAAAAAACAGTGACTTTTAATACTGTGTTTATTAAAAATCTACCTTTTGAAGTCAGTGAACCAATATTCTAAATGACTAGTGTATGTTATAAAATCACATAAGGGTAAACAAAAACTCCTAGCTAAGACAGATCAATGGACTTTACTATACCACAGCACAAAACAGTTCCATGACATGGTTTTGAATTCCACAATACAACTATCCTTTTCCAAATACCATGTGCTCAGGTTAGGTGTAGTAATCAAAGAATAGCCACAAGAAAGGCTGTTAAAGTTTCCTATCTTAGCTGGGCATAATGGCACACACTTTTAATACCAACACTCTAAGGAGGGCTGATGCAGGACAATCTCAAATTTGAGTCCAACTTAGGAAAACTATTGACTTAGCAAGATGCTCAAAATAAAAAAGAACCGAGGATGTAGCTCAGGGCAAAGGTCCTTGGTTCAATACCCTGTACCACCAAAAAAGAAAAAAAAAAAATCTCTGTTTTTTTCCAACTAGGTATCTGGTAAGGCTAGATATTCTTCATATATTTCAACCAAAATAATCGTATCAGACAGAAAGCAGAGCAGATATGAGAATCCTGATACTAAACAGATTTGCAAAAATTAAAAGAGAACTACTCTTGGTAAATTTTTTCATTTTGGAACTAACCCTAAGTGCTTCAGAATCACTGTACTAGAGAAAACAGAGGAAGTGGAGAATATCAAAAATATAAAACAGCTGGGTGCTGTGTTACACATGAGTAGTCCCAGCTACTTATGAGGCTCGAGCAGGAGGGAGGGAAGGAAGGAGGGAAGGAAGCAAAAAAGAAGGAAGGAGAGAGAAAGGGGAAGGGGAGTATAAAATAAAAATAAAAAGCATATGAATGTAGATTTAATTCCAAACTACTATAAACTATCTCAGGTGAGTGGGAGGAAAGGCAGAGTGTGAGTGCAAGGAACATGTTAAGAACTGAAGGAGTTGTTAAGACGGGACTTTTAAGGAAGTCACATCTTTACCTTCATCTCCCATATTTGGAAGCCAAAAGATAATATCTAAAACAGCAAAACAAGAAAGAGCAGTGTAAACATTTTAAAAATTCGGGAGTAAAGACCCAAAGAAAGCGGCTTCTGGAACTGACAGCTATTCCTAGAGATCAACACTGAGGCACAGAGTAGGGCACTGCCTTTTTTGTTTTCTTTAAGCATTGGCTTTTCAGTTATGGTCATGTATTACTTTGATAAAACTTAAATTTTTAAAAATTTAGTACTGCAAATCTCAACCTTTGTTAATTTATTCACAAGAAAATTCTCATGTCTGTGAAAAGCCACAGGCCTAGACACCTCACAAAGTGTGCACCTGAAGGACACAGAGCAGTAATTAACACCCAGCAATGCGGCAAGACTGCAGAAGTGCAGGTGCAGAATGGGAAAATGGGGGACGCTAACAAGCTAAGCCTTTGTACACTTAGCCTCTCTACTGAATTGAACTATATTTCCACACATCAAGATCTTTGCCCACCAGAAAGGAGGGGCCTCTGCAGTGGCCCAGCTGGAAACGTGCTGGTCAGGAGAAGGGGAGGAGGACACCACCTCAGAATCCGAGCCCACAGCACTGCTCGTATGCCTCAGGATCCCGCATCTCTGTTATTTTCAGCCAGACAACTAATAGGGAGGCACATCTGGGGACTACGAATTTTGGCCATCTTTCTAGTCCAGTTGGAGTTCTCAAACTTATAAATGTCATGGTATTAAAAACAGGGTGATTAAAAATCCCAATGTGTATAAAGAAAACCTGGAACTAGTTTCTATTTTTATCTCGAAGTCCAGTTAACTATAAAGAGTATTCCTTACCGAAAGAAACGTCTCAATGTTCTCGTGAACAAAGGACGCAATATCCTGCCAGTCCAGAATGTCTCCCAGCCAGCTGTTCTGACGGCTTACATGCATCTTGTGTCCTTTGTGTCTTCCAGAATGCGTTACATTCTATGGAATAAAACAGTTCAGATGTAAAATTTCCATCTTAAAGAGTAAAAATTATAAACATCTCATTCTGCTTTAGGTTCACTTACACTTCATCAAGTACTCAAAGGTGAAGAACCATACATTATTTAAGAAATCAAAAACATAGTATTTCTCCATTTACATTCTAGGTACTATACCTAAGTCTGGCACAAATGCTTTCCTCCTAAATAATTTTTTTTCTTTTTGGCACCTTGCACTTGCAAGGTAGGTGGTGGAAACACTGAGCCAAATCCCCAGCCCCCTAAATACATTTGTGAACATGTTATTTCTCAGCACTTGTAACAGTATACTAATATAATATTCACTGCACCTTTTCTTTATAGGTCTTATACACCTTTCTTGGTTTCCCACCTCTTTGCCCCCCCCCATTTCCTTTATTCATTATCCTTTTTAGTTTTTGTTTTTGAAACAGTGTCTCACTATGTATTTCAGGCTGGGCTTGAACTCACAGCTATCATCTTGCCTCAGCCTCCTGGGATTACAGGCATGGCCTTTATTCATTTTCTGCACAAAATAAAAGGGGAGAGGGAGGAGGCTACGACAAACATGAACAAGGAGCAAAATCTAACTCATGTATCTGTAAGATAATTACATTGGCAGGGATGCAGGAATAACTAAATTTGAAAGAGATGTAAATAAACAGTGACCATGAAGTTAAAATTCAGGGGTATACTCTTGATATTTTGCATCCATTCTCGCACTGTTGGAATTTTGCTTCCAACCTCTCACTTTTGCAAATGAAACAGGATATTCGTCTCCATTACACAGTGCACAAAGACTTTAGCTCATGGTAAAAGAAGTAAACAAAATGATATACTTAACCAGTTACACATCTATGATTTTTAAAATTAATTTTATTGGTACACTTAAGGTATACAATATGACATTCATCATTGGAAATTTGCACCTTTACACAATCCATGTTCTTATTTTTTCCCCATTCCCCTGCCCTCCCTTCAACCCTTCACTCCCTCCCTATCTACAAAGACTATGTTTCTATCTTTTCATTTCTCATATTAATTCCACTGCCTTCTTTCCTTTAGCCTACCCCTCCCATTTCTCCTTACCCTTTGTCCCTTTTCTTCCTATTTCACATCATCTATTATACCTTTAACTCTTTATTTACACTTTTGAGAAACTGAAATTGTATCTATGATTTTTAAGACCGACATTTTTCCACTGTAAAATGAGACTCAAAGGGGTATGGGATAGGAAAAACTGTTAAGAAGCCCCAGAGTTGGCACAGGAAAGAGATATGACCTTTCTAATCTAGTTCTTCACCAGATGGAATCAAATATATGATACTCTATCTAACATGCCCCTATTACTTTTTAACTCTCGGTCTTTGCAACCCACAAAAACCAAACCTATTTCCCTAACTCACCCCAAAGCAACAGTACATAATCAAAACCAGGTCACTAAGCAACAAATTCAAACAAAAGTCAGGCCCTTCCTCTTCAATCCCAAGTTAAGAGATTTATATCTGCTTCTCTTCTCCTTTCACCAACCCTAGGGGGAAATCACCAGCTCCCCTCTTCCCCCCATTATACACACAATATGCTGCCTGAGGACCCACCAGACCCAGGTAGGCCACAGCTCACGGAACCCACTCCTTACAATACCATCATTTTTATACTTGGTGAGAGACAGTAGTACTTTCCATTACAGATCTTGAAGTAAGAGTGCATATGTATAAACACCAATGTTGCTTTAAAATAAAGGTCTCTATCAACTTTTAGATCTATTTCTACTTCCTCAAAGAAAAAAGTTATTTATATCTAGAACCGGACTAAACAGAAACAGAAACTAATCTCATGCAGACACTGAACACCTAAAATCTGTCCACTCCAAAATCTGAAATGTGTGGTTGGTGTAAAATGTACACTAGATTTTAAATACTTAGCATTTAAAAAGGATTAAATTATTTAAATATATATAATTAAATTTTTTCTATTGCTTACATATTGAAACAATAGAAGCTGGGCTATACAAAGTTAGGCAAAATATATTATTACAATTATCGTATGTAATCATTGTCGTATGAGGGCTGGGGATGTAGCTCACTGGCGCCTCACCTTCCTGGCAAGCACAAAGTCCTGAGTTTGGTCCCCAGCACCAGAAAAAAAAAAAAAAGATGCACTCTGTTTTAGTGATTTAATGTAGCTACTAGAAAAATACATCACATATGGGACTAACAAGGGCTGGAAGTACAATGGTGGTAGAGTTCATTCTTACCAGTCATGAAGCCCTGGGTTCAATCTCTAGCACTGCAAACACGCAAACACACACACACACACACACACACACACACACACACACGGCATATAATACATTTCTACTGCACAGAACAAATCTAAAAGACAAGATGTTGTCTATAAAAATGAGCAGAGAATGGAATACTGACACACTGGAGGGATTAACAAGTTCTTCCCAGAGACTAACCACCAATAAAAGCTGACTTTTATTGACCTGGGCCTTAAAAGGTTGCTGTTTAAAAACCCCAATAAATGAAATTCCAATGTTAATACAACCCTACCACATAAATGAACCTACAAAGGAAACCTTTGTTTCTTATGGAAAGTTTTAACTAAAATAACTTACCTTTACAAACCAAGAATGATACAATCTGTCCCAGAGTTCTAGTACTTGCTTTTCAATTACAGCAGTATTGTTCACCTTGTCTCCTAGAATTTTATGAAGCTAGAAAAAATAAAAATTTACTATATCAGGCAACACTCCAATAAAACAAATAAATACTGGGCGTTCATTTGTTCCAAGCCAAATTAAAATGTTCCAGACTTTTAATCATCACTAATCACATTGTTATTCTCTTAAACTCTATTCCTCAGTGTTCCCATAACATTCCTTTTGTTTTCTTCTCATGTCTTTTTGCTTTTTCTTTACTCTGAGGTCTCTAAGAGAGCTATTTCAAATAATGAGAATAGTGCAAATTAAGCCATGTTTATCAATCTATCTGATCTTACCTACCCAGAGAAAAATGTTTTCCCTATGACTCGAGGACCCACAGTTATTCATCAGTCTCATGTTACATGTATCTATATTATTAAGAACTTCTATATAATTTTAGGACCTTCACTGTAAACACAAATCCTGCCCTTAGTTTGCTTACTGAAAAATACAAGGCCTCAGATTACTATGACTGACTGAAGTAGCTTCTAGATTTGTGGGAATCAAATACACTGAAACAAGATAATTTGCATTCATTACAACTTCATCCTACTTATTTATTAAAACCATATTGTAGTATTAAAGATACTTTCAAAACATTGAACTGTAGTTCTTTTGGTTTAATAAAAACTGCTTCCATTTCTCCAAGTCTCTGCAACTTTCTATTTTCTTTATTTTTTACTGGTTTCAAATTACTTCAAGTTACAGTGTTACTTAATCATTATCCAATGGTGCTGTGAACACCTTTAAACATAGCTATTATTTTTTAACCCACAAATAGTAAGATAGATAAATAAGAACCAAAGAAAATGATGGCTCTAACTATGATTACTAAACAGTGTTCTATAAAGATTGTACTAATTAATACTGTCCAACATTGTAAGGACAAACCAATTTTCCCAAAGATTTATGGACTAACTGAAAACTTTTTAGATAATTTAGCAAGTGTAAAATGGTAAATCATCATTTATCTTTTTTTTCCTTGAGTGATTATTTTTTCCATTTTGGTTTATAATGTGTATTTACTTGATGATAGCCTTATACTTCAACTAGACATTAGACATATTTGATGTAAATATATCTTTGTATTTAATTGATTTATTCATGAACTAGACATAAATTATTCAATGTAATAGCCATCTACCTGGGCCAAGCAATTTAAAATGCCTTTTACCTACATTATCCAATCTTTATAACAACCCCAAGAGTTAAGAAAAAATGCTTTTGTTGGGCTGACCATGTACAGCTCAGTGCTAAAGACCTTGCCTGGCACGTACAACACCCTGGATTTGATTCCCAATACTCCAAAAAAGGGAGGGGGGGGTAAAAGAAAGAAAATGGTTTTGTAACTACCTTTGTTCTTTTAAGATCAGAAAACAAATTTTAAAAGAATCTATGATAAGCCCAAGGTCACCCAGTTAAGTGGCAGTCAGGACAAAATATTCTCTAATTTTCTTTCAACTACAGCAATGTAGAGCATATGAACAAAAACAACCTCACAGAGAAAATTCTTAAAGTAACTCAAATAAGTCACAAATACCCAGCCTAATTTCCTTTACTTTGAATTATTAGTCTTTTATATATCATGATGTTCAGAAACTCAATGACTTCCTGCTACCAATATTTCCCATGAGCTTCTGAGATCTCCTTAGCCAAAAAAGGCCTAAAATTGTTAAGGTCACACATAGTGGCCTTAAATGCAGTAAAACACTATTTTAAGCAGGCATTTCTTCTAGCAGCCTTCCCCCCCAGCCCAACAATGAATAATTCTAAAATATCACAGTTATTAAAGTAAAAAACTGTACGGCAAAATTTCAAGTCATAAAATACTAATTTCAAAATCACAGTGCTATCAACCATAGCATAGCATCATAGACCCAGAACACTTGTGTGACATTACAATACACACTGCAAATTACAAGGAAGACAGATAGAGAGCAGGAAGTCTAATGGACTCAACACTACTATCGGGAGAATCACTCAAGCATGCTCTCTGCATATAAAAGGCAAGAAAGCACAGCAAAAGCAATCAGAGCATCACTTGAGAGCCATCTAACTGAAGGCAAGTAACCTATCCAGGAAGGGGGATAAAAGTCAGGGGGCAACTGTCTGTACTCATCTTGCTTGAAACTTCAGCAACACTGCTGCAGCTACCCAAGTCTTTCTTGATACATTTTCTTCTCTAGACTTTTGTGTCACACACAGTTTAGTTTTTCTTCTACTTCAAGCACTACTCCTCAGTTGGCCAACTCCTTCTTTGACCCCCAAAAGCTCAAGACCTCAAAGTTCTATCTTTGGTCATCGTTTTTCTTTTTATTTGGGGGGGGGGGTGTACAAGGCCATAGGCATGTTAAGCAAGTGTTCTGCCACTAAGCCAGAATCCCCAATCCTCTTTGATCCTTTTCTCTCTACACTTTCTCCTTAAGCCACTTTATGGCCTGCACTATCCACCCCACTCAGATGCTGAAGTCCTGGCCACCAATACCTCAGAATGTGACTGTATCTGCCAATAAGGTTAAAATACGTACATTAGCATGGGTCCTAATCCAATGTAACTGGTGTCCTTATCTGAGAATATCAGGGCACAGAGGGAAGACCATGTGAGACAGTGGCCATCTAGAAGCCAAGAAAAGAGGTCTCAGTAAAAGCCAATTTTGTGTATATTTTGCTCTCAGACATCCAGCCTCTAGAATCATAAGAAAAACTGTTGTTCAAGCCACCCATCCTGTGGCATTTTGTTGTATCAGCTGTAGAAAACTAATAGACGCCACTTCACCCAATCCTATGATACCATGTGATAATTCTCAAGCCACCATCTAATCCCCCAAAACTGTAGTTGTGCATGTATGACTGTTTTTGTGGCAGCTCTAGCAGGCATCTCCAATGGAATAGGCCCCAAACAGAATTACTGACCTGTCTGACACCTTACCCACCATGTCTTTTCCATCACAGCTATCTTTCTAGTTGAGCAAACAAAAATTTCCTTTCTTTGTACTTTACATCTAGTCCATAAGTAACTTCTGTTAGCACTATATCCCAGATGTGATCATTTTTCTCAATTTCCATGTCCTCAATCCCGGTCCAACTCATCAATGTTTCTCACATAAGTTATGAGGATAACTTATCAGGATATCAGCTATCAGGATATCTGGCCTCCTTGCCTTCTCTTCTTGACTTCGTCCCCCAAAAGCAGCCAAAAGGAGCTTTTAACACCCTAAATCAGGTAATATCTCTTTCTATTATGTTTGTATAATGCTTGATTCATAACTGAAATAAAATCCTAACTTCTTCTTTTCTTTTTGGACCAGCGATCAAACTCAGGTCCTTGCGCTTGTGCGTCCAAGGCAGGCATCGGAACCATTAAGCCAAATCATCGGCCCAAATACTGAAGTATCCTACATCTTTTTTCTTTTTTTGTGGTACCGGGAATCAAGCTCGGGTCCTTGCACTCCCAACTTCTTGTCATGACCTATCGTTTGTCTCATTCCCTACTCCAGCCACACTGGCCCTCACACGGGCCTTCTTTCTGTCCTTCAACAAAGCTTGTTACCATCTCACAGCCTTTGACTTTTTCCTGCCCTCACCTTGACACATTGTTTTCCCAGACCTTCACCAACAGGGCCTTCTTGCCATTCAAGTCTTAGTGGAACTGTCACCTTCTTAGAGATCTTTTCCAAAAACAGACAATCTAGCTAAAGCAGCATTCTGAGTCACTCTGTACCACATGGCTCTACCCACAGCACTTAGCACCTGAAATCTGTTTCTCTCTATGCTTAGTGACCCTCCCTCTCTGCTACTTTCCCCAGCACTTAGCACAATAACTGCCCTGTTTATAGACTTCTCCGTTTGGTCATGGCAGAAGAGACATGTCACTTATTTTCTTGCTATTCTAGGATAGCATCTCCATATACCGATTTTAGAAATTTGTATCAAACAAAAAGGATAGCTTGAATGAGGATGCTAAATGAGGAAAGCCAACTGGGAGGCCTACATAGAACCCAAACAATACAAAGACACAGGAGATAAGGCCGACAAAATAGGTTAGGGTAGATAGAAATATTCTCCACTCTGACCTAAGCACATCTCAAAAAACTTTTTACTGGCATGACATTTTTTTTTTTTTTTTTTTTTTTTTTTGTCACTTCAGCCCTTTCTAGGTATCAGCTCTTATATCCCAATTCTTACATGATCCTTAGCTAGATAAGATCTGAGGTCTATTAGAAAGTTACATTTGCAGTTTCAATTGGCTGTTTTTTAAAACAATTTCAGAGATATGATTCAAATACTTTATCATCCACCCAGTTAACAATTCAATAGTTTTTAATATATTCACATTTATGCAACCATTACTACAAGTAATTTTAAAATATTTTCATTAGCCCAAAAGGAAACCCCATATCTATTAGTAGTCACCTTCCTTCCCCCAGTACCCCTCACCCCTGAAAACCACTCTAATTTTTGTCTCTATAGATTTGTGTCTTTTGGATCTTTCATGTAAATGGAATCACACATGTGGTCTTTTTTGACTGTTTCTTTCACTTAGCATAGTGTTTTCAAGGTTAATTTACATGGTAACATTTGTCAATATTCCACTCCTTTATATAGTTAAAACAGTCCATTATATAAATTTACCACTTTTTTTTCCTTTTTCTTTTCTTTTCTTTTCTTTTTTTTTTTTTTTTTTTTTTTTTTTTTTTTTTGGTACTGGGGATGGAACTTGGGACCTCATGCTTGTAAGGCAGGCTGAGCTAAATCCCCAACCCAAATTTAACACTTGTGATTGATCCATCCATCAGTTGATGAACATTTAATGGTTGTTTTTTAGATATCCCTTTGCTTCTGTATTTTATAATGCTGGTATCAATGACCACCTTTCTTCAGCCATCTTTGTTTTTACCATCTTGAACAAAAAATTTCTCTATGTAGAGATCTACGTTTTTAAATGTAAGGCAAATTTTTCTAGCCACCCAAATTCTCTTTCTATATCTTGCTCCTCTGAAGAATTCCATACTATAAAACTCTGCCAAATATCTAAATCAAGAATAAAATGTTATGATTTCAGCAAATAACATGTTTATAGAAGGCCGATGGCTAAATCTTCCTTCCATAGTAGATGTGAGAGCTGTATCTACATATTTAATTTCATTTATTCAATAAATATTTTTTTAAAACAATGTATGAGAATTCAGTTATCTGAGACACACCCAAGAGAATCAGTAACACACCTTAACTATGATTCCACCCTTAGATTAGCAGATCACAATCGGTACATACATACAGACAGTGTATCTTCCATCATTCGGGGAGAGCAGGTTGGTTGTTTTTATTTTGAACAAGGAATCACATACTCAAGAATTTTCTGGGCAAGCCTCCAACAAAATCTTGTCAATAACCATGATCCTAATTACTTCAGCATATTAGAACTGCAATTAACTTTTATTCTTATGGGCAATGCTGGCACAGAAAAAGGATATCCTATATCTATATCCTAGTGGTTGATCTTTTAACTCCGATAACTGTATCTTTTCCCCTACTCACCTCCCCTTCACAAAGCTCCTTCCCCTCTCATCAAGGCCATCTCCTCAAGCACATTCCTGTCTCTGCATCTTCACTTACAGAAGTACCCTTCTTAAAATACGCTCCTGCCTGACCCATGCTCCTTCAGGTTCACCTCAAGTGCCACATGAGAACACATACTCCAGGTCCAGGCACACACTCCTAGCATACTACAGCAGGAAGAAGCAGGAGTTAGAATTAGTCATCAGTCTAAAGCCACTTTACATGGCCAGTGGGGATATTACACCCTCTGTATGGCAGGCAAAATAATTCAGACTACTAACACTTTCTAGAAAGATTAAATGACACTAACTGGAAACTGCCAAGCACAGTACCAGCAGATAAGTGTGCTTAATATACATTAACAGCATTTTCTTCACAAAGGCTTATTTGACCATGTAAGTTTAGCGATCGTTCTATCCTAGGCACAAGTACTGAATCATATGCATCTTAGAAACAAAAGTAAATGACCACTTCTCAGACTGTTTAGCCAACTAGCACTACTCGATGAGATTATCAAAAAGGTGCAATTCCATTGTATGTTATTTAAAACTATTTCAGAAACTGAAACTGTTCCAAACAGAATCTCTATTCATGCCTTTTCAAGGCAAGAATCCCTACCTATGAAGATCCTGCAAAGTAAAAGCCACAAGAAAGTCTCTTCCCTTACCTTGTGGGTTATCCATTCTCGTCCATACTGATAAACATTGTTTGCCGCAGAATTTAGGGCTCTCTGGACCACTTGAGCTTCAGGAAGCCAACTAAGCAGAGGAAAAAAAGGAAAAAAAAGAAAAGGTCAATTTTTAGCATGTTGTTACATAAACCTGATATACAAATTAAATAAGTTGTTGACCAATCATTAACGCATAGATGCAAACGCGTCACAAGCAGGGATCCTTGATGCCTAAGACTAACTAGGCAATCTATCCTAAGCATTTAGACCCACTGTTTCCACAGCCTCTCTTTCATTCTACTCTGTCTGGTTTTTCTGTCCACATATGTCCTGCTTCACCAGGCTATGCAACAACAGGGGAAGTGGTTCTGGGACAATGAGGCATTCGACATCTGGGACAAGGTTCTCAGAGTGTGGTCCATGGCATGTAATGATTTTGCAGTGTAAGGATATGAACAGGAAAGTTGGATCTCTAAACATAAAACATGACTTGGGGGAAATTAAGAAGCTTTTAAATTACTCAGGATTATTGAATATTTTCAATTATACAGTACTATATTTTTATTGAAAAAATATTATTGGAATACACACACACACGCACATACATATATATGTATTAATGTGGGGATTTGCAGAGGTATCTGGATAGATCCTCAATGATCAACAAACATCTAGTAAAGTCTGGAAAAAGAGGTTCTGGCTACTGTGAAAACAACTTGCCAATATACTTAGGTGTTCTAAGAGCATTAGATGAAAGACCTGCTATAAGGCATCAACTTAATCCTGACCTCCTTGCAATGAGAAAGGGCTGGAAATACTTGAGCAATCCAGGCTGGGATGAATAGGTGTGTGCATCACAGCCACATTAGTGCCCAGCCAGCTGCTACACTCAGGCAAGAGGGGTATCTTGGCAGAAACCAAGTCCCTACACAATTTGGACTGGCCTACCCTCTCTTTCCTGAGTAAAAGTTAATATCTATCGCAATAAGGCCTGCCAAGAAAACAGCCCTGATTAAAAATAATGGTTTGGCCCATTGGGTTTCATCCAAGTAAAGGCAGGACTGAGTGATATTCAGTACATTTTAGTCCCATCTGCTAATGAGAGTCCTGAGACATATAAATCACGACGCTTGACAGTAGTCAGCAAAAAGTAGAAAATGAGCTCCAGACTACCAGAACTGTCCCAGATAAGAGAACAGCTGCCACAAAGGAAAGTTTGTTCTGCTTAAGAAGGAAGGAGACAAGACTTCTGTCAAATAGATCATAGTTAATTGAAAGGATTTTTTATAGCATGGAAGCAGGGTGACATTAGTATAGAAACAAAGTGTTGATAGTGACACAGATAGACAAGGGCCAGAGGCAGAGCACATCTTAGCCCAGGGCTGTCCCAGAAATCTACATGGCCTCAGTATGCATCTCTTAAGGGTGCTTATTTACAAATGTCTGTTGAATGCCCCAGCCCCTCTCCTCTTATACCAAGAAGAATCTAGGGTAAGCTCCAGCAATCCACATGTATAACAGGACCCCCGCTGCTGCTTCTTCAAGTTCCAGTTTGAGAACTCAGCAAAGCATGGATCAGCAAAGGACATGGATTCCACACCACAATGATACCCAGAGCACCCGCACTGTTGCAAACTCTGAGTGAAGAAATGCTCCAGTCAGCACCCTCAGTCGTAAGACTATTTATTGGCAGAGAATTAGGATGTGTTCCCACTACAATCTCATTTCCTCTGAAGCATTATTAAAATGGTAATACTCTAACTTATCTACCAATTCCCCCAAACACATGACAGGCAGTCTATTCCCTGCATGGGACATATAAAATGTGCACCAACTTAGAAGTACGTACATCTGACTCACTCATAACTATCTCCTCCACTAGGAGTGGACACATGAATTTCCCCAAGGTTCACTGCCTTCCTCATGACAGAAATCCACTGAATGTGCAAGAAGCACTCCCATTACATCATGTCCACCTCCATCCCATCCCCACCAATCTATTGCTAAAGAATCAGACCTTCCTGACAAAACCAAAGTCCAAGCAACTTTTAAAAATCTCCCTGCCCAGAATATTACTCTACTTAAGAATAAAAAGAAACAAAGTGCTGATGATATATACATCTTGGACAGATTTTTAAGGGAATTATGCTAAGTGACTACAAGCCAATTTCAAAAGGCTGCCTACTTCATAATTAGATTTTGTTATCACTCTTGAAACAATATTATAGTTATGAACAGAGCAGTGGTTGTTAGGATTAGTGATACTATAAGAGAACAGAGGGTAGATGTGGATATAAAGGGTGGCATGAGAAGATCTGTGACAGAGTAGTTCTATAATTTGAGTGTGTTGATGACTTACACAAAGCCACACATGATGAAATTACAGGGAACACACACATGCAAAACTAGTGCAAAATTTGAAAATGGTATACTACATTAGTGTAACGTTTCCTAGTTCGGTTAGTGTATTACAGTTATGCAAGATGACAACATTGGAGGAGGTAGGATGAAGAGTACATGGGACTTCCCAGTACATGTCTTACAACTCCACGTGAATCTATAATTATTTCAAAATTTAAACCAAACAAACAAAACACCCACCTACAATTACATGGGCTCAAGCTACTCAGACCCTGTGTGCCTTCAAAATAGTAGTAGAAATGGTGCTTTACAATGCAAAACCAGAATGGAAGAGCTCGGGTTTATTTCTACTAGACTGAATGACACTTCTTAGTAATTTCTCAATACAGTGCAGTCTAACTGGGTTCTGCCCTTAAATTACAGATTGCTCTTACAGTCACTAAATCCAACTTTACTCTTAACCTTATCTTCTCTGCAGCACATCTGTGCAGTACACACGTGTGTGGTGCTGAGAACTGAACACGGTGCCTTAGGCATACTGAGCACATACTATTCCATTGAGCTACACTCCTAGCCTCTCTGTAGCAGTCAGAGATGTGCTTGCTTTCTCCCCTTAGTTTTCCTCTTGCTTTTCTTACAGCCAATTCTCATTCTACTTTGCCAACCAATTATATTTTTCTCAGCCTTAAAGACTAGAGATGATCCAGAGGGCACACAGCCAGACACCCTCTCTACACATCACATAAACTCTTTCTTTTTGCTCCCAAAGTTTCAACCCAGGCCTCTCATGCTTCCTGAATCCCACACCAACTATTAATTTACCCCAGATTTTGCTCTGGCAATGCGCAGATGCTTAGTACACAGCCATTTATACCTATTATAGCTGCCTAAAACTCAGCAGATAAAAAACTGAATTATTTTCTCCACTAAATCTGCTCCTCTTTTCTCTTTCTGTCTTCTGACTTTGTGTATCCACCATCATCCATTAATTCCCAAAGCTAGACCCAAGTCATACTAGATTTTTTCTTCCTGCATCCAATCAATCACTAACCCACTGAAGACCACAAAAATCTATCTGCTCTTCTCACTCCCCCTATAACTGTTCACATTTCAGGACTTCAGCACCTCTTATCAAGTCTACTCTAGGAGCTTTAACTGGTGTGCAAGGCTCACTCTTTTGGAAAAGACTGCTACAGAATGAAACCTTGTGCCCCTTCTCTTCTTGTATCCTTAATCAAGATAATGAACATATCTATCACTTCCCTGAACCCCTCGCTATGCCCTCTCTGCAGTCTCACTCCACACTGACTTGCGGACAATCACTCATCCTTCTGCTACTACAGCTGAAGATACAGACTCCACTCTGCAACTTAACATAAATGGAATCATACTGTATGACACTTTTTGTTCAATTTCTCTCATTTAGCATGCTTACTTTGAGATTAATTCATGTCGGTGCATGTGCTTTTAGTTCATTTGTATTTAATGCTGAGAAATACTCCATTTACACATATGCCACAATTTGTAACTAACAAGAAATACTGGGGGAGAGCACTCTTGGCATGCTCTAAGTAATATGATAAGTGGGTAGAAATACATTTTGAAAAAATTTCTTTTAATAATATTCAAATGTGATTCTAAACCAAATTTGAGAAATGTCCCAAACAGGTTTTATTAAAAGAAATGGTCAAAGGATAAAATCAGAGCTGGGAATGTATCTCAGCGGCAGAGTGCCTGCCTAGCATGCACAAGGCTTTGGGATTATTCCCAGTACTACAAAACACAAAGGAGAAAATAAATTTCAATCTCAATTTACAATCCTAAAATCAGCTAGTTACTAACTAGGGGTTAAAAATTAAAAAAAAAAAATAGGTCATATCATTTGTCAAGTAAACAGCATGGCTCTGCTGAACATTCCTCCCAAAGACCTAAACCCTTCTTACAAAAGCCAAAATGCACAAGTACCCAAAGACTTTTGAGGCAGAGTTCAGCAAAATTCTGTAAAGATTCAGAAAATACATATTTTAAGTTTGCAGAACATATATACTCTGCCACAACCTCTATTCTCTCTGCCCTTGTAATCCCGAATCAGCTACATACAATAAGTAAGCAAGTATAGCTATATGCCAATAAAATTATATTTACAAAAACAGGTGGCTGGATTTGGCCCCGAGCAACAGTTTGCCTACTCCTTCCCAAAAATAATACAAAATGGGAATATGTCCTGAAGTATACAGAAAGTCCCTTCAGCTGGCTGGAAGCACTGGTGGGCTGACTCTTCCACTGAGGAATTATTATCTCAATCCCTTAACCAATGATCCTGCTTCCTCATCTGTGAATGGGGTAATGTCTTCAATCTACCTCAGTCACTGTGACAGACAAGTTATATAAGATAAATGATATCATCTACAATACATTGTTTCTAAAATGTTAAGCACTTCCTTCTCCCTTTCCCCAATATTACATGACATTCTTTGGCAAAAATTACACTATTTATCCAAGCTTTGGCAAATCCTATCTTTCATCTTCCAATATCACTGTATTAATGAAGATCATTTCATGCAAGCAGATACTAAAACTACATCAACCATATCTATTCTTTTTCAAAACAATATTCTTACTTTGCCCACTCAGGGTGATTTGCTAGAGTTTCATTAATCAAATTACTTGTGACTTCAATCATGTGTACACTCTCTTGATGTACCTGTATTTAGGATAAAGAGAGAAAAGAATCCCAATAAGTAATAAATTTAATTTAAAATATATTTTTTATTCTATTATTGGAAAAATGCTTTCAGAGTCAAATAAGTATGTATCTTGGTTGGAATTAATTTAGAAACATGCACCAAAAATTGCTATGTGAAATTCTATTATACACAATATTACATGCTATGAGAAATAGCAAGCACATAATTCTCTGCCTTTAAGAAATTCAACAATTTAAGAAAAAAATACAGACATGTAGACTTAACACATATGCATAAACATATACAGCTTACACATACACTGTGTGAATATATGTATGTATACATATATATATATATATAT